CCCCAAAACCCCAAAACCCCAAAACCCCTTTGTTCATACCTAATTGAAATATATTATTCCTATCTCAAAAATGTCTCTCTCAGACTTCAAAATACATAACAAATTAGGCGAAGGCGCGTACAGTAATGTCTACATGGTGGAAAGAAAGCAAGATGGACAGAAATACGCACTGAAATAAGGTCAGACTTACACATTTATCTGAAAAAGAGAAAGAAAATGCCCTTAACGAGGTTAGAATTCTTGCTTCGATAAATAACAAATATGTAATTTCTTACAAGCAAGGCTTCTTTGATGAAGCCTCTCAGAGTCTTTGCATTATCATGGAATACGCTGATAATGGAGATTTGTTCCAATAAAGATTAGAAAGTACCAGAAGTTTAAGAAATATATTGGAGAAGAACAGATCTGGAAGACTTTTATACAAGTCCTGAGAGGTCTGCAAGCTCTCCATGGATTAAAGATAATGCACAGAGATCTGAAAAGTGCCAATGTGTTTTTGTATAAGGATGGAACTGCCAAATTAGGCGATCTCAATGTTTCCAAGGTAGTCAAGCAAGGGCTTGGGTATACACAAACGGGAACTCCTTATTACGCCTCTCCTGAAGTTTGGCAGGATAAGCCTTACGACTTTAAGAGTGATATTTGGTCTCTAGGATGAGTGCTTTATGAGTCAATATGCTTAAAACCTCCCTTTAGAGCGGATGATATGGAAGGATTGTATAAATAAAGTACTTAGAGGAGCATATCCCAAAATTCCTAAATATTTTTCAGGAGACTTATCTCTGATAATCAAAGCAATGCTAAAAGTCTCACCGAGCAAAAGACCTAGTTGTAATCAGATTCTAAATACGAGCATTATTTCTTCTAGACTAGATACATTATTTCCAAATGAAGTTAACGATAATGAAGATGTACTGCTGCAGACTATTTATATTCCTAAAAAGTTAAGTTTTCTAACAGAAAGATTACCGAAGCCAACTTATGAAGATAATGGAGAGACTGATGACGAATCTTCAGGTTCAAAGGACAGAAAAATAGATGATAATGGCCAAAGCTCTCTTCCAAACATTGATCAGACTCCTCCTAAGCCAGGAATAATAAAGATAAAGAGCATAAAGGAGAATGTATCAATGTCAAGCAGTTATAGTGACTATTCTTACAATAAGCAAAAAGAAAAAGGTATCCACACTTTCCTGAATATTTTTAATAATTTATAGGCTTAGCTGAGAACAGTTATTCTATCGATACAAACCCACATGAGAAAGGTCTTCCCTCTCCTCTGGATGACTATTCCAATATCTATAGTTCAAAGGCTGATTACTTCCAAGGGAAATTGAACAATAGGCTCTCTGCCAAACGAGAAAAGGGTAAGGTCAATAACAGCAGCGATTCGAAGCTTAAAATCCAAAGAGTGAAGCACAGAATGAATCCTGGCAGGAACCTGAACCTTAAGATTGAGAAGAACGATTATCACCATTCCAGTTTATCTAGGAAGGACTCTGAAGAACAGAGCAGGGATAGTTCACTTGTGGTCATCGGCACAATGGATAAGAAAAATATTTCTAAATCAAGACCTAAGCAAAGGCCATTAAAATTACTTGAAGATAGTGAGAGATTTAGCTCTGTCTTGAAAATACTAGCAGCTTCTGATGAAATTAATGGGAACACTGATCGGAATAGTAGTAAACTAGTTAGATTATTGGGTATAGAACGAAGCAGCGTCCCTCCTCGGCTTAAGAAATATAATATTCCAGGGAGTAGCAAGATCAGTTCCTCTTTGATATCTCAGAAAAATCGAATCGGAGGTAGCAAAAAGATGAATAATATTAATGTATTCTTTCTTTAACCATCCTCTAGGTTCACAAATACAGCGGCAAAGGGTTTAAATAAACAGAAACCTCGAGTTGGAGTTGCTTATATTAGCAAACCCAGGTTTGACAAAATTCAAAGTGTTGGAAGATCAAATTCCCAACTAAACAAAGAAAATAAGAGTGTGAGTATAGTGTCTTTATCTCCTAATAATGACCTGAACTATGGCAAAGATATGGTTCTCTATAACCCATACAATAAGTCAATCTCTAAGCAGAAAATCCATCTTCCTTACTTGAAAAGTAGGAGAGCTGCCCCTAAGATAAGAAAGGATCCCAAGCAGGTGAGGCCTCGTAATGAAAGCTCTATAAAAAATACCTCAATAGATGTACTGACTTCAAGTCATAAGAAGTAAATTATAGATGTAATCTTTAGCTCTAACAACAAGTCCCTTAAGAATGATAAGTAGGATATACAGCTTTACCTTATTTTAGATCGTTCGACTTACTCAGAGAAATCAAGAACTTAAAGAAGAGAATTTCCAAGCCTAAAGTTGAGGATTTTGACCAAAGCTATAGGGTGGGAAAGAGATAGACCCCTTCGGTTTCTAACTCTTTTATATTTGCCCATATTTAACAATCTTTTATGTATGAGGACAGGGAGTAAGAACCTTCTCTTTCTCATAAATTATTCGAGGTTTGAAAGTTCAAAAACTTCTCATAATTAGGGGTTTTGGGGTTTTGGGGTTTTGGGG